TCATTATATCAAAAATCAATGAATGATTCTCCAAATAATTTGAAGATCCCCAAAATTATTAATAGCTTTATTCCTCTTCTTGGACCATTACATGTCTCTTTAAATATGAGGGAGTCAACAATTTCAACTCATTGGAATTTTTTTGGACAACTATATAAATTTGTTTTTGGAAAAAATAAAAAATTAGCAAAAAAACCAATGCCTTGGAAAATAAACACTCTTTTAGATTTAACGGATAAAGGCTGGAAACAAGTAGCAAGCAACATAATTGAAAAATTTGGAAGGTGTTGTAAGGATACAGAATATAGGAGCACCATAGATTTGTTAGATAATATAGTTCCAGCAGTATTGGATATTTATGCTATTATTTTTCGATCTGGTTCCTGTGAAGAATATGTAGAAACTATTTTAGACTGTGGACTTTTGCATTAAGATGGGATTGAAAAAACTATAACAAATTACCTTTAGCTTTTTTGTCTGACTTTTTTTATTGGAAGGACAATAAGCATCCATTCTATGATGCTATAAGAAAATATTTAGTTAATTTTAATGATTATTATGTTGAAAATTGGCATAGTTGTATAGGAGCCAATACCAGTTCACAAAGTTCATCTAAAAATATAATAAAACAAGCATTGGCATTAGATGGCTATGAACAAATCTTAGTTGATGCATTTAAAGTTTTAAATACATACCCTTATACAGAATCTAATTTAGATTATCTAACCAATAGAGCTAGCTTATTTTTAATTAAATATTTTTATTCACTATATAATAAACAAAATCAGACCATAATAAGTAACAAGAATAAGATCTATTTTGCAGCACTAAATCAAAATGTAAAATTAAAAAATTTACCTACAGCATTTCACACTTCATTTAGACCATTGATTGATAGTTGTGATAATTGCAAACAAAAATTTGTGAGTAATTATGATCCTACTGGTTTGGTGCTGATATGTGGACATGGATATCATTTGAATTGTTATAATACAATTGGTAGAAATTGTAAATATTGTCTAGAGTTTTACGAAAATGGAATTACTACAAATGTAAAATCTTATGTTAATAGATTAGAAAAAGAAGTAGAAAATAACAATGAAATGTTAAATGAAGAAATTGATGATAATAATGAAGATGAAAATGATACCAGTGAAATAGATGCAATAACATCAGAAAATATTGAAATTGTAGAAGAATTAGAAAATGCTCTCAATCAAATAATAAATTGGTAATTTGAAATTATTACTCCACGGCACGAAGCACAAGTGTTTAGACTGACAGACCTTTGATGACATGGTTTGGAAATATGACATTTGCAAGTTGCTGGCATTTCATTTATTTATTGTTACTATTATAATATTGTTGTATAATAATAATTATTATTATTAAAATCATTTCTTGTTTTTATTAAAAAAAAAATCTTGACATTATTACCTTTTAAGAATAAATAAATATTTTTTTTGTATAATATGTTTTATAATATATGGTAAAAGCCTTGAATCGAAAAAATTCAGTACATATTGAAATCCTTCAAAATCAATGATCTTCTTTGATCTTTTTGCCCAAGCCTTTTAACTAACGAAGAGTATATTCGAACAAAACATCATCATTCTACAAGTGATTTTTAATCACTCACATTATAACTAGTTTTTTCTATTTTAAATCAATTGAAAATACAATGTGGTACAGCATAAAAAAGATCATCATTCAATGTGATAAACAAATGTCCATTATGCTGCATGATTGTGTAATAGGTAAAAAGCAAAAGCTTGCATTGCATGGTGGACATTCGAATGTTGCACCAATTTTTTATGCCATGTAACATAATTTTTAAAGTAAAAAAACTGTGTGCTCAATTAAAATGGGTATACGTTGATATGCAGTGTTGTGCCATTTATGGTTCCAATAAAATTTCATTGGAACATCCCAACAAATTCTAATTGGAATTGGAATGTTCCAAATGTGGTTCCAATGAAGTTAACCAATGAAATTCAATTAGAGTGTCTCACACACAAATTTTATTGGTCAATATCAATTAAAGATCTACATTGAAACCATATTGGAGCCACATTGGAACATTCCAATAGCATTACAATGTTCCAATTGCACAACACTGCTTTAATGTAACATACGCGCCCGCAAACAATTTCGCACACTGCAATACGTTAAATGCTGTGCCGCACTGCCAAATCTTCAAATCCCAAAATAGTAATGATACTCCTTTGTGTCACGGGTTTATAACATGACTCGATCATTTTATCATATTCGTTATGAATTTGAGTATTCAAATTTTTACTCAAATAAATGAATAAAACAAGTAAAACGAATAATTCGAACATGCTTTCATTAAACCATTCATCACCAAAATCTTCAGTCTCATAAACGAAATCATTATAATCAATTTCTTCTTCACTACTATCAATAATATTATTACTAATATTTATATCTTTATTGTTTTTATTATTTTCTTCGACTTCATTCTCCATCTCATTCTTCTTTTCTTTGTTAACCCACTGTTAAATTGCTTCTATCCATTTTTCTTCTAGGATTTGTTTTTCGTTGGTAGAAGTTTTTTATTGTGGAAGTAGCAACACCCATTCCCTCTGCAAAGTAATTCACGAATTTCAATAGCCATTTTGCTGAATGAAAAATTTGGATTTAGTTTAGTCTTTTTGTCAAATAATTGTAGAAATCCTTCCATAGATTTTTGATCTCTTGTGAATATTTTTTATCATTAATAAGCTTGCTTGATTATTTTTGAATTAACTTTTTCCTTGGCTTTATTTTATCAATTATTTCATCAATTTGATTTTGTGAGCTTTATATAGTGAAGTGGAAAAATAGTCCAACTAACAACAACCTGCAAAAAAGTTGGCTATTGAAAGAATGCATTTTTATTAAATTTAATCTTGTTCAGCTTTTTTTTTATCATTAAATTCTGATTTGACTGAACTTGAATGTGGGAAAATTTTAGGTCTTCATTTAAATTCATATCTTTTTTTTAAAACTTTGTCAAAAGTTTTGTCTCTGAAATTTTAACACGGAAATTTTTAATAATAAGCCTGACACAAAAATATACATAATAATCATACAAAAAATTATACCAGTTTTTGTAATGAAAGTTCTGGAGATTATATATATAAACTTTTGTACTTTAAGATTTTCTAGAATTTTGTCAAATGGAAACAAAAGGAATTTGATTATATTGAAAAAAACAATTCAATGTGTAAATTTCTTTAATAATTGCTCTAAAGCCTACATAACAATATGCTTCAAAAATTTCATATGTTATAATCTAAGATCCTTCGATTCTCTAGTATAATTTTTATTATATAATTTTGGCTACTTTTTCATTAAAAACAATATTTTTACCAACCGCCGTTTTTTTTTTGAAACATACTGTATTATAATTATCAATCCAGGAATGGCTAATTTGCAAATGTTAACAACATGTTTAGTTAGTATTTCACAAGCATGAATAAATTAAAAAAAATATATCTGTATGTATGCAACAATTACATGTCTAAAAAACATTTTCCAACATAAATTGTATCTTTTTCATATCCATTAATTGTTTCTTCAATATTCCTGTCAACATTATTACCATTTTCAATAAAATAAATTTAATGTCTCTGATTCCGTTCGCTCCAAATTCATCTGCGAGAGCCTTAATAGAGATATTATCTGTAAAAAACATCGCTTCTAATAGCATTTTGTTTATTCGCTTATTTTTATTTGCTGCCAAAGAATTGATTTTGCTGCTTTATCTCTTAGACTTTGGAATTGCTCTTCAGAGAGCACTTTATGACGGATAGTTGTAAAGACTAGTGCCGTAAATTATGTGATGGTAGTAAATTGTATTTACGGCATATAAAAAGTGGTTGCAATTACCTTTGCGATCACTTTTGCAGCCATACTTTTTCCTTTTTTGGATTACGGCACTAGTCTTTAGATAGTTGGGTTTGATGAAACACCATTTATCCTTAAGTAGATGATACCCCACCATAACATACTATATTAACATGAAGAAGATATTTTAAATAATTGCTTGCTTCAGAAATATAATCATGAATTGATAATGCAAGAAAAAAAACTTACTCTTCATAAGCAGCTTCACTGTTTCTTTGGATCTTGTTCACACCAGAAATGATCTTCTTATCTGTGTACAAACAGATAAATACTTAATAAAATAAAAGAGAAAGGAGACATTATCAAAAAAATTTAAAATTCAACCTGGTTTTCTTTATCATTACCGCTGCTACTACTACTGGTGGTGGTGGTGATAGATCTTAAAATGAGAAAAAAGAGCTATTTTAGTATATTATTGCCACCACTATTTCTTTCTTTTAAACTCGAATTGCAATGATAGCAACTACTACCCACCGTTCTTTTTTAGAATGATGACGAGTTGCGATGATTGCTACCGCTATTCGTTTTAAAATAACTAGAGTGACGACGAGTGGCGATAACCACCCTTTTACTTCTATGGCATCTTTTCCTTTACTTCTTTTATTATTCCTTTTGGCATTTTTAAAATCTTTAAAAAGAAGTTTGTTGTTTGATCGACGCGTACACATTAATTATTTATCCTATTGGTTTTTTTTTTTGGTAGGACAGACGCGAATTGATTGATTTTTTTTTTCAATTAAAATTTTTGCTTCACATATAAAAACATATAAAATTTTTCTTATTATTATGTGTCCCGTCTATCCGTCGTGACTATATCAAGAAATCCGTTGTATTGAGAAGAATTTTATTGTTATTATCCATTAAATGAGGTACACTACATTGAGATTCACTGTATTTAATATGTCATTAAGAAAAATTTAGGAATCTGGTTTGATTCGAATTGATTCGAATCGAGTCACGAATCAAATCGAACCGAATCGACTACAGAACGAATTGAATCGAATCGAATCACTCTAAAATTCGATTCGATTCGATTCGTTCAGAGCCTTACACAGCCCACAGCCCACATAATAATAATGTTTGTCAAATGGCATTCACCGATTATCTATCAATTATCTAATTGATTAGATGTTAAAAAATTTCCAAATTTTTATGTTAGTGTGTAACATTAAAATTCCTCATTTAACAACATTATATATTCTAATAATAATGATGCCTTCCCAATAAGATATATCGATAAGATGGTAAATGATTTAACCAATCCATTGAAAAAATCAGACCTTATGATATGAAACTAATTTTTAAAGCTCATTCGAATATTTTAAAAGCAAAGTCATTGTATTTTAAAACCACATTATCAAATAATTTGATTAAAAAGAAAAAGTTCTTTTAATTTTAAGATTGATGAAAATCAATTAGCAATTCAATATTAAATAGAATCGAATGATATAACGAACATTCTATAAAAATTACATGATTTATAACTACATCTTTTATTCAAATCCATCTGTACTAATAAATTTCACACGTTCTTGTACACTACCACCATTAAAAAATAACCTTATTTGTAATATTTGTAATAGATATTTCCTCTTATGTATAGAGAAAGACTTGGAAATGGAAATGAAGATTTTTAAATTAGATAATATAAATAAATAAGTCACAGGTTTAAAAAAGTCATTAGACCAAAAAGAGATACAGTGTTGAAATTTCAATACAAACTTAGAAAATAATTAAACCATCTGCAGAAAATGCTAATGCGCATGTAACGTGATACCGGAACCACCCCACACTGAGTTTTATCCAATTTTGAATTTAAATATAAATAAACAAACTTTAATTTTTTTTTTTGAATTTAATTTTTTTTTTTTTTTTTTTTTAAAAAATGTCAAGCAGCTTGGAAAATATTGCACTCTTATTTAACGACCCCATATATTCTAATAATAATGATGGCTTGCCAATAAGATATGTTGATAAGCTAATAAATGATTTAACCAATTTATTGAATGAATCAGACTTTTATGACATGGAAATCAAAGTTGGAGAAGACGATGTTAAAGTTTTTAAAGCTCATTCGAATATTTTAAAAGCAAGGTCTTTGTATTTTAAAACCGCATTATCAAACAACTGGATTAAAAAAACCGATGGTGGTATTATTTCATATTCAAAAGAAAATATTTCTCCAAAAATATTCGAAGTTCTTTTAATGTAAGCTTAATTTATTTAAGATTTAATAATTGAATAATTTAATTGTTATATTAAAACTTTTTTTTATTTTAAAAAGTTACATGTATAATGGAACTATTGATATAGTTCATCTGGATCCAAATGAAATTTTAGAGCTTCTTGAAGCATGCGATGAATTATTCTTCAGTGAACTATTTGTAAGTTTACAATATTATTTAATTCACGAAGAAAAAGAATGGATACAACATAATCTAGTTTATTTCCATAAATATATATCAGTGCATCAATCATTTGGTTTGCTTCAAAAATATTGCGAGGAATTATATTATAATTCCCCAGAATTATTTTTTAGAATCTGATGGGATGGAAGAAATTGATAAAACAATGCTCAAGTCTATATTAGAAAGGAGTGATATACCTTTATATGAAATTAAAATTTGGGATCATGTTATTCAATGGGGAGTGGGACAAAACAAAAAATTATTAGAAAAAGATATTTCAGAATGGGATGACAATGATTTTGGTTTACTAAAAAACATATTGGAGGATATTATTCCTTTAATAACATTTAACGAAATTTCTTCAAAAGATTTTTATGAAAAAATTCTACCGTTTAAAAAAGTTTTTAATCAAGAATTATACAAAGAACTTTTTCAATATTATAGTCATAAGGAATCAAAACCAACGTTACTACTTCTCCAAAAAGATTCAAAACCAGGAGGGAATGGAAAGCTATTAAATTTAGAAATGAAATTTTTAATATCTAATTGGATTGATTATAAAGAAGATGACAATAAAGAAGATGAATTACCTTATAAATTTCAATTAATTTTTCAAGGTACTCGAGATGGATTTGCAAGATCAAATTTTGAGAAGAAATGCAACAATATTGAACAAACTGTAGTGGTTATGAGAATTAAAGAAACGGGTACATTGGTGGGGGGTTATAACCCAGTTTGTTGGAATCTAAAAGAAAGGTCTCTAGATGATGGATATTATATTCATACAAGTAAAAGTTTTATTTTCAGGATTGATGGAAATCAACTTGATGATACAATATTAAGCAGAGTCAAAAATTATGATCATGCAATATTTCATACTAATAAACATATCAATGTTACTTTAGGTAGAATAGAATTTCATGAAAAATCTATAAATTTTGGTGATTTACAATTATTATTTAGTATTAATAATGAACCCTATTGTTTTTATACTTTTTATACTACTTTTTATGAGAGAAATTTGAATTTGAAAAATAAGAACAATAAGGTACATTTGTTAGATGAATACGAAGTGTATAGAATAGTAAAGAAAAATTAATTTATTTTTAAATTATAGTTAGTACACATAAGGCATAATTTTAACAACTAGTTTAATAGAATACACGCAACAAAATATGATTAATATGATTCATTGATTCGGGAAATTATGATTCTAGTGATTGAATGTAATCATTTTTTATAAAGGGAATGAATGATTGTTAGTAATATAACTGACATTCATAGCCTGCAAAGATAAAAAAAATATAATCAATTAATTCTTTTCCTTTTAAAATTATTAACTGATTGCATTTTTTAATATTAATTATTTTTTAAAATAAATAAATAAAATATTTAAATATTAATATCTTTTTTTTTTTTAATAAATTAATAATATACATTTTTTTACGCAGCTTGCATAATTTTATGTGTGTAATAAACAAGAAGTTTCTCGGCCATCTTGGATTATTTATGTCTTATAAATATACTTTATTACAAATGAAAATGAGTAAAGAAGGTAATTATGTATGATGTATGTGGGCGAAGGTTGCATGCTACATTTTTATTGTTTGGGTAACTTGTAAAAATAAGATTACATATATATTTTCCGATCTGATATAATTGACTTGCCTCGGAAAGAATAATTTAGAAGTTTTTTCTTACGAATGAAAACGTCAATGAGTTGGTGAATAAACATGTTGTCAATGATCAGATCACTTTTTTATTTATAATCATTCACAAAACTCTCGTGGTTCGAGTAAAGCAGGTATTGGTCGAAGTTTACAGTATATATTGTAATCGAACATTTTGGATACTTGTATATTCTTCGCCGAAAGCACTCATCATGTCTTACCCCAGGTCCATCCTTGATTCATTAATCGGCTAATACTTTCGCGCAATAACCTCTTTTTGTTTAAATTTATAACTTTGAATTGTTTTAGCTAAGCATTGTTTGAATTTTGTAATAAATAATGAAAAAATTCAAATGGTTTTTATCTGATTTGTTAATCTGGAAATGTACCAATTCACTAATTTAAATTTAAAAAACACAAAATATGTTATTATTACTACAATCATTTCTTGAATATAATATTTGTTACATCCGTCATTATGTCCTTATTTATAAATCATTATCCCTTAAACGAAATTCCGTGTAGCACGGAATTTGGAATTGCGATCATAAATTACAAAAAATAGACATTTTCCTGGAGTACCACCACAACTTTTCTTATTTAGAAAATGATATTCAAAACCCCATACTTCTATTAAAAAAATTTATTTGGGGTTACATATAACAGGTAAGGAAATAATATGTGTAAAATGTAAAAATACCCATTTTTTTGTTATGAAAATTTTCTTGCAGATCACGTTTTTTGATAGTAAAAATTTGCGATATAGTTATATAAACCTATATCTCCTTCACTAAAATTATTTAGCTAGTATGCAAAGTCTACTAATGGAACTTGTTAATCAGATCAAATCACATGATTTATGTCTAAGAACCATAGGTCTAGTATCAATAATTAAAATTTTCCATATAATGAACTTTTCAAAAAAAAATTTTTTAAAAAAAATACAAATGTTTCTTTATTTATAAAAAATCTTAAATATAATTCCAGTATGTACGATTTTTTTAAAATAATTTTTTCAGAATATATGTTAATTGAAAATGCAAAAATATTCGGGGTTTGTTAGTAGTATTTTAATTTAAAGAGGGATTGAATTTACTCGGAAGATCTACACAAATTTGGACCAAAAATCCCTGTACGTTTAAGGGATACAAATGACTGTTGATCTGCAACAGTGTCCACTATGCTTGTAAAATTACTATTTTATGCATTTCAAAAAAGAAAAAGAATATTTATTATAAAAATGGTAGAACTGAAAATGTGTATAACAATTAAAGCAATGGAGTAAAAATGTGGATACAAAGTGGAACTAATACTATCAATAAGATGCAAATACACCCATCAAGCAGAAAGATTGATGAGCAACAAGGTCTTGTAAAACTTATGTGATAAATATTTTTACTTGCACAAGTAGAGTCAGGTGTATGGACAGATGATTGTGAGAAGGAGAAGGATATATTTATGGAATTTTAGGGAAATAACATCATCATCATCATTCTCTCAATTCTCTTCATCCAACATCCCAACATCCCCAATATAATTCTCATCCTCATCCTCAACTTGTACTGAATAAGTCATTTAGAATGTGCTTGAGCTGCAACTATGACCAAAATTCTAAAAGACAAAAGTAGCTGTTTAGTCATCAAGATTCTCATTCTTAATTCAAAAGCAAAGACCACCAGTTGTAAACCTTACTAAGAAAAAAAGACTTTATAAAAGTGCAAAAAATCAAAACAACATATTTCTCAGGCAGGAATACACTCCTTTTAAAAGT